CATAAGTTATGATTTGAGATGATGTGGGTGCAGGGTAAAGAAGGTGTCACTGAACTTTCAAAACTAAGCTCCATCCCACTCCTGCGGTAGAGGCGGCTGTGTGCTGCTTCAGTCTCAAACCATCGGGCTTATAAGTGCACGCTAGCAAAATACTTAAAATGTGTGCACAGGCCATGTAGCAGCCTCAGGATGGGAAGGATTAGGAAAAGACTGCACCACACAGCTCTAGGAGACCTGGAGTAATGCAAAAGAAATGCCTGTAGAATATTGAAAGGACAAATGTGAGAAATAGTCCATGAGGTAGGGGATTTAATATGGACAATAAAGGAGACTTGGTCAGAGCCTTGTTCACCTCAAAACACATCTATTTAATTGTGTTTTACTTTTTGAATTGCTTTTAATCTGATTGGCAAGCGATACTGCTGCTGCTTTATTTCAAATCACTCTGATTATCTCACCTGTAATCCATGTAAAAGTGATGCCACTACCTGGGGTTTGTCACCTGACATGTCATTCCTCATGGCAGCATTAGGCTTCAGACACACCATCCTGACAAATCAGTCAAACAGGAAGTTTCAAAAAGAAAATGCCTGTAAGGCAGGGAATTGGAAAGGAATGGGAGATTTGCAAGGCTGAGCCCCATCTGTAATTCCACAATGGAGGGATTTCTTTTGTTTGTCACAGTTTAAGCAGTTTATGTGACATATGCATGATACATACACGAGCTGACTAAAGGTCAAACTCTGCTTTTGGCTGTGTTGGTGAAAATCCAGGGGATATTGACAGTTCTTGGACCTGCACTCGTGTAAGCTAAAAGGATTTGGCCGAAGAATTAATCAGGTACACTATTCCCCACAGAATAGTCACAAGCAAATGCTGAGACATCCTGAGTTTTGGCATGGATGGAAAAAGGCCTTGCAAGCTCTTAAGGATCATCTGCTGCAGGAGACAGAAGAGCCCTGGGAGAACTGTGCTTTTTTAATACCTGAAATAACATGCATCTCATACAAGCAGTCATCAGCACAAAGCTTTCCATCTGAAGCTGCTGTAGTTTATGAACTCATTAAGTAAACTCATTTTTTAGCTATCATTAAGATTGATTTCAAGTACCATGATCATCCCTTTTTCTCGTTTAATAAACACAGCCTTTCTATGCTGTATGAAAACAGAACAGCAAAGCAGGTCTTTCTGCGGAAGTTTAATGACATGAAATCTCAGCTTCAGTCAATTTGATGAGGATAGAATGTGAAACTGCCTCCCGGGTGCAAGACAATTATGCAGACGAAAAAACCCTTTGCAGGAAAATTTGCAAGAGCCTGGAAAACACGGTGAATCTGTCTATCTATAGAGAAGCATCCATTTCAGGCTTGCATTACCAATTCCATTAAATACTCAGATGGGTACATTAGTTTCTGCCTCTCTAATAAGAACAAAGTAGTTTAATTTGTAATATTTTTTCACATAATATCTTTTTCCATGGATTTAAAGGGTGTTACCACAGTGCATTCTCCCAGGGTAAAGATAGGCATTCTGCTTTTCTGCAATCAGATTTTTGAATGCCCAACACAAAGGACTTCTGAGTTTCAAAAGTGCTGGGAATTTGCATTTTCAGATGCAATTAATAGGATCTGTCGGTGTGTAGCACTTGTAGAAGCTGGGCCTAGGACATCTCAGAATGCCTACTCAAAGCAGGAGCCCTCCTGCAGTATGAATGCTTCAGTGAGTCATCCCAGATCAAAGAGCAAGTTAGAAAGTGAGCCAAGGCAGAAACCAGATCTTCTGACTCCTGGTGTCTGGTTCGACTGATGAGATTTCACTGCTCTGCGGAAAGCTGGCCGCCAGAGGAGTGACCTATTTTACCAACGTAGGTCACTTCCATTAGCTCAGTAGTTATTGTTCTGTTGTTTTAATTAGTGCCATTTCAAATAAGTGGCCAGCTCTGTGGAAAGGTCAGTATCTTTCTGAACTCTTCCTTTGTAAAAATTACGTTGCTAGGGAAACTATACTGGAAAAGTAATTCTTGTTAGACCTCCAAATATGACATGCAGTTGCTTAGCTGCTGGCCAGGCACATCTCAGATGACTCACTCCATCAGCGCAACTCAGAGCAAACATTGTTCAGCCCTGGCCTAGCCACATATGACAAGTACAAACATGTTTTGAAACAATACCAGCTGTTAAAGACATTAATTCTGAAGAGAGAGAAAAGGCAATGAGCCCTGTTCAAGAAGAATTGGGATTCTCTAGTTACATTCTCTTTGTGGTATATGTATAGGTAGACCAGGTAATCCCCATAAACATGTACAGGCTTACATAATTAACTTGTCTCTGTCACGCAGAAAATACAGCTGTTAATGAAATCTTGAGATTCATGTTGATGTGCCATCCAGCTAGCCAGATAGCTTCAATATTTCTCCTGTAAAACGTAGTCCCTATTAAAAGGCCTGTCATATAAACTTTGCCCATATCTTTACTGACAAAATAAAGCTTTGGAAATGGAATATAGTTGTTATTGTATTCAGTCTGGCTTTAGTGGCAAAGCTTGGATCATCAGTGGTCAACATTGCCGTATTATATTTCATGTGCAGATGTAGCTGTTCAGTGCACGTGGCTGGAAGACAGTGCATATTACCATGTTACTGTATTTGACAAAGTAGTAATAAATATTGTTTATTACTCACATATTGAACTCAAACGAAATCATTAGCCAAATCAAAAGACTCAGAGAAACTGTAGAATTCCTGATGGGATTTATAGAAGTAACTGAGTAATGGAGGAGTATAAATCCTACTGCCTTCAGTAGCACATGCTGTATGTGGATATCTGTACAACTTTTAAACACTACAGTCTATCAACATAACAAAAACATTTGGGAATATTATCAGTATGCAGACATTTAAATCTAAAGATGTCTAAGCGGGTTATAAATCTGTTTTATGGTGGAGTCTTTTTGTTTTCTGTTAATACAAGCTTACTGCAGCAGTGCCCGAATGCAGACACTTTTAAGACAGAACATGAAAGGCACTTACGAACCAATGCGCTTACATATGTGTGGTATTTTCAACGTCTAAATACTTCTATTTATTTTAAAATACTATGTTTACACTTAAAATTAAACCTAATTTAATAGATTTTGCTAGATTAAGATCTAAAATCAATTATTTTTGCATTTGCATGAATTTGTGAAGAATAATCTATTCACTTGAATTTACAAAGGGTTTTTAAGTTCTTAGCTGTATAATCTTATCCTAAAAACTGTGCCTCTTGCAACAGAGAAATCCTTATATTCCTGTTGGAATACTAGTGTGGTACTGATTCAGGATAACAAATAGTATCTTAAGCTCAGCTGAAAGGAATGTTTACAGTCCTTTCAATAAGCTTTGGATCAAGCGATTAGACCTCACAGTCACATCAATACCACCACTGTAATTCTAGCTTTATGTTTTCTTCATCAGTATGTCTGATCCAGCTTGTAACCCAGCCCAGTCCTGTTTAGTTTAGGGCATATGGCAAGGTCAGAAATCACATTAAAAGGATACGTACCAAATGAAAATAGTTTTCACAAAAAATCCCTAGTGCGATATAGGATTGACAGGGTGCAATCAGGCAGGGTGCCAGCGAAAACTGCTTACATTTTAATGTTATGTAAATAACAAAATATAGAGGACTCAGGCAGGCAGGATTATGTGATTTCTCATCAGATGGCAGGCAGAACTGCTTATGGTGATCTGCCATGAAGAGAAATGTGCTTGCTAAAAAACTAATCTTTAGATTTCAGTGCTGAGTATCTTTCTGATGGAAAAAGATGCTCCTGGCTGATGGATAAAATGTTGGCCTTACGCAGAAGATGTGATCTAAAATATTTACTATCTCTATAGTATCTATTCTGCCACAGTTACCACATTTCATACTGAATATTTTAGCTGTTTATATAAAGGGAATATTGACAATTCAAAACAAAGTCTCTCAAAAACACCCCACCAACTAGCTGACAACTAGTACATTTTGGATCCGTGCTTAACTGAACCTTTAAAAAAAGCTCATAAAGGGAAAGCAAATTCTACACCATGTCCATAATATGACTGAGGAAATACGGCAGATTGTATGATGGTCTGTATTTGTGAATATCTGTTAAGTATTGGGGGTTTTCCCACATAAGCGTACAATGTTTATATCTGAAACATCCATCTTGATGAAAAGGTGCTTTTACTTTTAAATTAGGTTAGTTCAGCCCTGAAATTTGCATAGAAAAACATTTTCTAGACTTCTAGAGCTGTATACTGGGCTCTGAGCAACCTGATGTAGTTAGCGGTGTCCCTGCTTACTGCAGGGGGGTTGGACTAGATGACCTCTAGGGGTCCCTTCCAACCCAAAACATTCTATGATTCTATACATGGCCACAGCTGTCTACTGGGTTTTCAGGTAAATGCTTGACCTCAGCAACTTTAAAAAACGTTTGTTTTAATCAGTTCAATTTATATATTTACTTCATCTACATATAATTTAGAACCTTTTATTAGACTTCTTTTCCAATGAAACCATATAAAATCCAGACAGATAAGCAGTTTGGGATAATATTTTCCCACCAGGATGAAGCACATATTTCATAGTCGTGTATACTTTGTAAAGTTAGTGAAGTCCTTTCATTGCTTTTATCAGAATAAATTGCTAAAAATAGTTATCCATATTTTGTGACTTATGTGACAAAGAACATATATGCACACATTTACTGTCTTTATGAATATTGGCTCTGTTTGGTACACCTATTGTCAGGATTTAGTAATTCAGGTTTTTGAATAAGATTGACCAAAGTTCCATATAGCTATTTGTTTGTTCTTTTAGTGTTGGCTCTGCATTAATTCTTCAGAGGCAAGGATGAAGACTGTTCTTTTAGATCTCTACTTACCATTCAAACTGGTGTTGTGGAGGATGTAGTATAGATTCTGTGTCATATCTGTTGAAAAATAACTGGGCTTTGTTTTGTTTTGCCTTGATTTGTAGAAAACTTAGATACCATGATAGCTGAGCAGACAAAGAAGAAGCTTGAGGACCCTTCCACTAGAACCAGAACAAAGCTACCAGCAGGTATTTATTCTACCATTTTCTCTCCTGGAATAACACATTTTTTAAGCTATTCAGTTAAAAGCATGCTAGTTGCTTTAGAAGCCAGACTACTAGTTAAAGATACAGTCCCTCAAGCCACAGCTTGGTTGTCTAAACACACGAGAGGAATTTTTACTTAATTGTCTGATGTTTGAGAAATATATTCACTGTCCTTTTCTTCAGTGGAGTCCGGACATTACACATATACAAAAGCAAGCTGTATGCTTTTTAAGACTTAAATAATAAAAAAAAAAATCATCCTTTGTCAACTTTGGATCTAGTGAATGCAAATTTCCTATAATTTTTCTCTGCACAAAGGAATGTGCCTTTATGAACTACATATTATTGAATTTTAGTCAACTGTATTCAGCTACTGTTTGTAAGAGCAGAAGCAGTCATTCGTGTTTCCAGAGGCCTGGCGTAGAGATGACCTTTAGAAACCACTCTGAGGCAGATTCCAATGAGGTTCTTCCTCAATCATCAGTCAAAATATTTTACTTCCTAAAGATCATACTGTGCTTTTGGTACATTTGATACAAAATTGCTCTTATATCTTTAGACAAGAGTAGTGAAGAAGCAGACAGTACGAAGGAAGAAGCAGCTAAAATGGAAAAGGAATATGAAATCTCAAAGGATTCTACAAAAAATGAAGAACAAAATGCAGCAGGGAACAGTGAAGAGCCTAGAGGTACAAAAGAGCCGTTGCTTTTGCTACCTATGTAGGCTCCAATTGATTGGAGTTTTTTCCTATCTTTGGTATTGATTTTCCATTGTGTTGGCATAAATATCCTCAGTTTCTGGTTACTTTGAATCAGCACACAACAGCTTGATTCAGAAGTGTATTTATTTGCTTACTTTTAAATATATGAAACTATATCCCTTGCTGAGTAAGGCCATAATCTTTCACAGAATTCATAGCCCCTTTTGAGAGCAATATGAAATGCATTTTGACATAGTAGTGCAGAGAGATTTTGCTTCTTTGCATCTGTGGCTTTTCAGTGAAATCAGATCATCAGGATATTCAGTATTCTGAGTGAGCCCATTGGTTTCTCTAATTTGTGTCAGGACAAGCTGGTACTGAAAGGTACTGAAAAGTTCTGCAATTTGCATTACTCACTGCTCGAGGTTAAGGGTCATCAGCAATTAACCTGTTTTACATAACTTGGAAAACCTATTGCAGTAAGTTAGTGTCTCAATAAGCAAACTTGGCGCTAATTACCCTAGTTGCCTCAGAAGGGCCCATAGTGCCACGTGCCATGCTACATTAGACTGTACTAGCTCAGGTCACTCTGTCCACAGGGTGCAAATCAGCTGCTGTATCTCAAAACAAATCTGCAGAGGACAGTGTGCCTCCTTACACTACACTTCAGAGCATGTGTCCCAAAGACCAAAGGCAAGCACTGCTCTACTTTTAGGTGATCTTGTATAAACGTGCATTTCTGTGGTGTCCAGCACAGCTCTCAAATATTTAAATGCAACTTTTTGTCTCTCTCAGCTTGTACTAGAATTAAATCATAGAAGTAGAAGTGGTTGGTGTGTAAACTTGTGCGACAAGAGTGGGTTCATCCTAGGTGTGTGTGTGGATGAACTTACTGAGGGGTAGGAAAGTTGGAGAAATTAGTCCGGCAAGTGACAGTTACAGCATAGTGCTTCAGGCTCAGCCACGTCTTATAAAGTGAGTTCCATAGCCTAGCTGCATCTCCAGAGTAAGTTCTCCCTCCTGCACACAAACCACTCCTTCTCCATCAAGCAATTTATTGACTAGACTTGGTGGACTTTCTTAGGAAGTGATGTATAGAGATTTGTCAGGTAATGAATCCTGAACTTCGAAGGAGGATGTTTGTTGGGGCAGAAACCTTTCAGTTAGTTCTTATTGCTAAGGATTCAGCATAAGTATCTATGTTTTGTAGTCAGTTGGTTTAAAAAAATTGCTTATAATCTATTTTGCACTGATGCTGTTTTATGCTTGTACTTTTTTGGATGCATGTGTTTTCACTGCAAAATGCTTGGTAATGAATTGCAGTAATCAAGGCTGCAGTGGAGTGTAGTTCATTGGTCACCAGGTTCAGCCCTAGGGCAGTGCAGGCATATAAGCTATTAGCCACTCACAGGTAGAAGGTGGCATTTTTTCCAGCAGTGATTATTTGAGCATAGAAGAGGAAAATAGCTCAAGATGGTTGTCTAATTCCACAGTAAAGAAAAATTGTCTCAATACCCGTGGGAAGTGATAAATAACATATTTTGCTTGTCTATTGAAGATCTATCCATTCAGTTTGGTTCAGGTTATTTTCCTTTACCTTCAAAAAAATGTTCAGCCCAATAGCTTTTTAGAATTTTAAATTGGATCAGTATTTAGTTCTTTGTCTCATCATGCAACGTCCTTTGCTCTTTCATGGAGTAATTTATTATAAAGCTAACTCTGCACTCCCAACTCAAAAATTACAGAATATCTAATACTGTATCCACTCACTAATGGGACCAGACATGCATAGTTGGCAGTAGTAGCCTTCTACATGCTAATCACACTAGGGTTTTTTTCCCTGACAAATGTAAGAACATTACATCAATAATACTCCAGCCAAGTTAAGAATTCAAAATCCATTAGCTGGAATATTTCCTTAGGGGCCTTATTAGGTAATCCTTGAACTAATTCTGTCTTGAGTGCTTTCTGGTCCAAAAATAGCCATCACTTCAACATTTCAGCTAAAACAAGGAGTTATCACGGTAATTTTAATACATCCTTTTTCTCAGTAAATGTAAGTAGATGTATTTCAGCTTGTCTTTCCAAAATATCCCAATCTTAGATTTGCCGTATGCTGTTAGTACTACTGAATGGAGGATTTTTCTGACACTTTGTATATGAGATACTCAAAGCTCTGTCTTAAGTTGTTCCTTGCTGTCTTAACAGCTTCATCTTTGCTGAATAATTATTGTGTTCAAAAAGCTACAGGTTGCCTTTTATCCACATACGCAGTATCTGCGGATAACACCAGAAGTTATGTATACAGATCAAAAAACCACCATGATTCTAAGTTTGTGGATGACTAATCTTGCACAGAAAAAACCTGCTAGCCATCTGTGGGAATTTTGCCTGACTAAAGTTGACAGGACTCAGCTTTCAAACAGAAACTAAGAATAGTTTTAATCTGCCTTCACTGTGACCAACTTCACTCAGTTAAGCAAGCTGCAGCAGTCATTGATGTAAGTGCCTGATTTCTCTCATCCTTTCCTCTAGGGAAAGCTGAGGCATATTTGGAAGCAATCAGGAAGAACATAGAATGGCTAAAAAAACACAACAAACAAGGTAACAAAGAAGGTATGAAGTAAAAAGCCTTGACATTGGGCTGGGCACCATGTATATTACGAAGCATGTAATTTAAATTGTATTGTGTAACAGCATTATGGTATAAGTTAAATAATAGTAATGTGAAACCATGCTTGTCTAGATTATAGTGATAATTAGTGATGTTGGAGTTAAATAATACAGGTCACGTAAAAATTAAATCAATGAATGGAAAAGGTAAACTAAGGCAAATTCATGTGAACAGGCTCAAACAGCTGTTGGCCACAAAACACACAGTGACTAACCAGCTAGGAGTTAGTCGTGTGCTGTCCAGATAGTCATGGTGGTCTGCATGTCACCAGGTAACAGTACATCAGTTTTGTGTAGTGTTTCATTTCTTAGTTCAACATATCTTTTAATTCTGATTTTATACATGAGGTAAATGTATTTTAAATGTCTGGATGTGTCTAGAAAAGCTCACAGTGCATCTGGCTAGCACTGTGCATGCCATCACAAATAGCAATGGGTTTTGTTTCATAGCCATAAATAGTTAAGATACGAACTTCTGTCACTAGCACTGTAATATATTGGATTAGAGCCCAAATCAACTCTAATGGCTTGTAGCTCTCACGGAAAGCTGTGCAGAAGGGGAGCACCAACTGAAGCAGCTGCACAGGGTGTGCTCACCGGCTGCCCCACCATTTGACTCTTCCTTGGAGGCAGGGAGGAGGAAGGAGCAGGATTTCTAGCCTATTTTTTCACAGATCTTTATTTATCCATGTCAAGTTTGCCCTCAAGATCTTATATAGAACAGCCTCCTGTCCCTTCTCTCTGCCATTGCTGGGTCTTCTGCCATCGCCTGCTCTGTAAGTGAAGGTTCTGAGCCAAGGGATCCATCCCTGGGGTATGACGGGTGCCTGGGGAGAAGGATCCTTCTTGCACCAGCCAAGCAGAGAGGGACCTGAGATGAGATTAGCCCTGGGTAATCTAGCCACCGACTCTGTGACTTGAAGTGTATATGAATTGCATTTCAGAGATGAGTGCATGCCCAACACATTCATTTTCCTATATAGAAACTCCGTAATAGGAAGGACTTTTTACAAAATTGTTTCCTTCTTAAAATCGTTCCCACACAATGGCAGCGATGGCAGTTAGCAACAGACATACGTATTTGCTCAAGAGTTTTCCTGCCAATTCTAATAAATGTTTCTGTTTATTGGTGTACTCATTATAGTAATTAGATCTCAGTCATGTGTGATTATTCCTCTGTATCACACATACTGACTGGGCAGCACCTCATTCTTCCTCACAGTAACCTTTCCTCTGCCCTACTGCAGTCTGAAAATGGCTGTGACTGCAGATCAATAGCGTTTTATCTGCCTGTGCATTAAGACGTACGCTTTCTGTGTAGATGGATTTTCATTTGCAGTAACATATCTTTATTGTCCTCTGGAAATGGAAATGGGCCTTAAAGTGAGTGTAAGTTAGGACAAAATTAGAATAGCCTTCTTACTCTTCTGATACATTATCTTTATTGTGCCTTTCCGTACTTTTTATTTTTGTAAAATGCTAATTCAGTTCTCCTGGGGTGATGTTAAAGGAAGTGCAGTCAGGGTAAGCTTATCACACTGTGAATGCATTGTGCTGTGTTTCTTCAGTACAAGATTAGGTGTTACTGATGTGCTCATCAATCATTTCTCCACTTCCAGCTAGCACCTGGGAGCTAGCGGAAAAGTGATTCATGAAGTAATTTGTGTATTAAAATGGCCAGTCTTTTCCACCCCTGTTCATGGATTGTTTTACTCACTGAATATACTTGAAGAGGTTTAGGTGTTCTTCAGGCAAATGTTTGTAGATCCTTAACTTTGCATGAATTTCAGTAGAAGTGATTATTCATTCAATGACTAAGGACTCTGGAAATGTTAATTTACATTTTCCCAGTTTAAAAATATCAGTTGTCCATTAGGGAGGCAAGTAAACATGAGTGGTCTGGATGATTTAAAGAGAAACATGCCAAAAGCCTAGATTTTGGCCTGATGGGCTATTGTTCCAAGTTTGTTTGCGTATATACAATATATAGGCTCTGTGGGCCTATCCTTAGTATCTCCCAGACTTGCTTGATCTTTGAAACCGATGCTCTTTAAGACCAGCTCCTCTCCTCTGTAAATTAACAACTCTCCCACCCGTAGACGTCGGTTGCTGGGTGTTCTATTGCATTTAATCTCCAGAGAACATAACCGTGAGTCATTTCACTAATAGATGCAAATAGCATGTTCAGATTTTTCACAAAATGCTTAGGTAGTTTATAGTTTCATAACACTAACAGTAGCTATTTAGGAATGAAAGTAAATTCTATAATTAATTGCAATGGCAAGTGGCTTGATTTGAATATGCAAATAAGACCTCATTTCATTTACTGTAGCAGTTTCACAGCTCAATGTAATGCTGCAGCTGTTGTGGTGAATATAAACCAAAGCTGATTTTTATAATTGCTTGCCCAAATTAATAGGTTGTAAATAAGTATTAGAAATTAACAGTTATCAATTTTTAGAAAAAAAAAAGAAATTAAATTGTCATGAGATATACAAATTAACCAGAATTGGATAGTCTCTTAATGGTGTAATCTCATACAGGATGTTTAGTAATTAAACCTTCACATTTCCACATAATGTTCTTAGAGTTGTAAATACTATTCTAGAAGAAAAATAAGCTCAAGAATTTTAACGTGAATAATGTGTCTATTATACTAATTTAGTATTTGTTGTTCCATTCATTTCCATTCCATGGTATTTTTCACTGGAGACTCTCATTCCATCGACATGAATGAAATCTCACAACCTTATTACTGAATTGCTAGGTACTATTTGTCCCTATTACTCAGAAAGGATGGAGAGACAAACTGGTTACATTCTCTTAAGTAATGCTGGTAACGGACCAGCTGTGAAATCCCAGCCTCAGTAGTACAGCAAATAGGAAAATTCCCATCAACTCAGATATGGAGAGGACAACTCCGCAGGAGTGGGGAGTTCTGAATATCAATTTTCTGTATTACTCACTTGAAATTGCCTTATACTGTTATAAAAATGATTGCAAGCACTAATTTGCTTCTTAATGTCTTTCTATCCAATTTTGGTCACTCAAGCATAAAAAGACGGAAGGTCATTACTGTCTGTTTCGTTAAGAAAGTACAGTTTGAAAGAAGGTCCTTCCACTTACTGCTGCGTGGTGATATAGACTGGAGTACATTACAAAATCAGTGTTAATAAATTCTGAAGGTTCTCTCTGTGGAATAAGTAATTTATACTGAAAAATTCAGGGTGTATCTGTTTTTGTGAAAGATATTAATTCATTCAGCTTAGTACGCACCCTTAAGACATTGATGTGTTCCAGACTACTTACTTGTGATTCTAACAAATTAAGCTTTACATTTTATGCAGTGAATTATGTAACTGCAACTTGTATTGAGTTTCTGTGTGACTACACGGGATCCATTGCCGGAGTTACCACTACGCAATATGTTACCTTTTTATGTTATTTGAAAGTCAGGTTCTTTTCATGGAAAGTAGTGATGTTTTCCAGCATAGGAAAAGTCTATTTAATGTATATGGTGTCAATCGTGCTGCATAAGTGCAACTGCCTATTGGAAAAGGAGGAAGGGTCTTCCAGCACTGTATTGCAGATTGACATACAAAGATTGCCAAAGCCCACTTTGAGATTGACATACAAAGATCGCCAAAGACCACTTTGACACTAACACTCTCATAAAGGCCACTCAACGCAGTATTTTTCATGCCAGAACATTATTTTCTCTGTCAAGGTAAATAATTATATGATTTCAATTTATTTTCAGAAAATTGCTTTCTTGAATTTTCACTACAGGTGTTTGTAGTAAGTGGGGATTTTACGGGCATTTCAATGGGAAACAGTCGATCTAATACTTTCTTTTGAATCCATGACAGTTCTGAAAAAAAATAGGGTTTTAAAAACAGCTTTTGCACGCAGACTAGAACATCAGATCTCTGGACCAGAAAATATTCTTTAGCATTTGCCAGCAAGCAACAAAGAGCAAGAGATTATTATTCCTCTTGACTAGTAAAAGCACCATGACATGTCAAAAGACTTTGTGCAGGTGTTTTGGGGTTTTTTTTTAAATTGTTTTCACAGGTTGCATTTGTAGTGAATTCCCTTCATGGTGGATAAATTGCATTTGTTGGACAAACTTTACAATGGCGTCATTTCTCACGTGAAGCGGTATGATGGCAATGACTCATTGTGCAAATGAATTCTTATTTTTCAGACTACGATCTTTCAAAGCTGAGAGATTTCATTGATCAGCAAGCTGATGCTTATGTGGACAAGGGCATCCTGGACAAGGAAGAGGCTGATGTAATTAAACGCATATATGGCAGCCTGTAAAAAGCTAGTGGCTGCCAAACCTGTAGAAAACTAGTATAGCTTTCCCCACTCCTGGCTCAATGACTTCTGATCTGTTATTTTGAGGATATCATTAGAAATGCTCTGTTTACATTGTACTGACAACTTTCTAGACAGAAATGAAGAGCTGTAGTGCTCTGCACACTGACTGCATACTGTGTTTTCCTACACTTGCAAATCAACCCTAAACGCCAAATTCTGACACCGAATCTCTATTTGACAGGGTAAATATTTATGTAATGCTCTCCTTGATTTATTGTTTGTATTTGGTTTACTTTTGTAGATAAACCAATCATTTCTGACGGAAAGTTCTTTTAATGCTACATCTTTTTGCTCTCACTCCACTAGCTTTCTATAGATGCAACTATGTAAAGGGCATTATTAGAAAATAGTTCATAGTTCTCTAAATAAAATATTTGAAAATAATGTACCTATTAAAGTTTTCATTTAATCTTACTATGATTTTATATCCAGAAATCTTGTTTTTAAATCCTTATACCTTCTTTTCTCTTGACCCATTTTAATTCCTTATGTAGTAGTCTGTAACTTGGACTATAGCGTCCTTAGCTAACTGATAAATCTTTGACACTACAACTGCCTTTCATATAACAGAGCTGTATTGTCCCCATTGTTGCTTCATTCAGCATGTATGAACATTCTCCTTGGTGCACCACTTGATGATTGTGCATGCATAATTAGTTGAATTCCTGATGTGAGTAGCCTGATAACAAGTGTAAATAGCTGTTACTTTCTTTAAAGAAACAAAAAAAAGGAAAGCAATTCAAGTCATTTTGCACGGGAAGGGGAGTTTGCAACCAGAGATGTTTTTAGGAACGGGGGCCCTGCTTTTCAGAAAGGCTTAACTTAAAGAACCTATCATATCTCAGCATCTCGGAATATCAAGGCTGTGGTGTGTTTACTCACTTCTGATCTGTGTTATGCAGTATTATTTTGGAAAAGTACTTTGGGGCATACATGTGCTGTCATTAGCCAAGAATTTGGTACCTCCTGAAGAATGAAAAAGGAAAACAAAAACGTCACCCTCATTCTTCTTCCTCAGCCTACAGAGTTTTTGAGGAATGGTTTATGAGTTCTTCTATATTTAAGTGAATGGATAATTTTATGTATGAAGGACTCATGAAGCAAGATCAAAGGCAAAGAAGTTTTTAGAAAAGTAACTTTTAAACTGAGTTCCAGGAGATGTAAGTCCTGAGACTTACCCCCTGCAGCAGTCATTTGTCTAAATGAACTCCAGGAAAGCCCTGTTCTCTTTACTTACAGGTTCTTCATTGATAATTAAGGTTATCCCTGCTCTGATTTTTTTCAAAAACTCATGATACTTCTGAGAGAGATGCAGTCAAAAAAATGTTAGCTGATGCAGCTGCCAGTAAAGGGAGACACGGAGTTACAGCACTGCCTGCACAGCACAAAATTCTGTAAATGTTAAATGGGCAGATAGTTTCCCTTTTATTTTCTCAGCACAGCTGGAGATTAAGGAGGAGGAGGAGATTTGAGCAATGCTTCTTAGCCAACTGAAGTAAACTTTGGAATCCCTGCAAAACATAACTTATCAACGGAACATTATTGGTAACAGATATTAAATGAATGTGATAGCAATGAGGTGTAACAGTGTATCTATTTGAAAACTGATGATACATAAGCCAATGAATGCTTTCTAGCGTATAAAAAGTACGTCACTGGCCTGCTCATAGACATCCTGATACAGATCATCGAATTGCAGTACCCGTCACTAATGCTGGTATTTATTGTAAGATAAAAACTGTATCCAGAAATATAGTCAACGTAACCTCCCTGTTTGAAAAATAGTCCCTTAGAAACACTGCAGAAAATAATTAAGAAAAAAAGATTTCCTGTTATTTTGAATCAGTGTGTTTGTTCTCATCTAAGCCCTCTAATCTTTTTTATTACTGTTTGCTAATGTTCCCAAAGAACAGAATTTCTTTTTGTCCCTGTAGATCTCAGTTGTTTTCTGCAACAGCTTGTTGCTTGCTTATGTGAATATCACACTGGAAAAGTGTACCTTTGGATTAATGAAAGAGGTCAGGAGAAAGGTAACTAACCATAGACCTTCACATTTGGGGAAGTGGTAGTGATCTAGGATCTGTGCTTAAAAAAACTAAAACAGACAAACTTTCCTTCCCCAATGGCTACTTTAAAAAAAAAAAGCAAACTTTCTTCTCCTGTCAGAATAATGAGTAACATATTAATATTTTTAATTTTCACTGGAAGCTAGGTTCTTACTTTGGCCTGTCGGGAGTCTATGCAGGAGTCTGGTACGAACAGAAAGATGTCATCAACTAGCGACCTGTGATTATGAACAGTTTGTGTCCACAAAAAGGCTGGTACAATATTTTTTAGCCTCTCAGTTTCACAAATTTTAGAACTTAAACAAAGCATAGATGACATCATTTAGAAGGGAAAAAAACCCCAGCCAAACAATGTGTATGGCCTGGTTCTAGTTCAGCGTATGCATGTTCTTGGACCTGTTCTGCACTTACCCCGCTGCTGTGCGTCACTCAGGTGCATACGCAGACCAATTAGACCAACCTGATGACTAGCTGAGAACAGAGCGAGCCCTCTGACAGGTAGATGAGCAATCTCAGCTACGTTCTTCAAACTAGATTCACCTCCCATCCTGCCCAAGCCCATTAAACTTGTTATTTGGATGCTTCAAATACTGGTTTCATCGCTGGTACATCAGAGGAACATCTATCAGTAAATCATACCTTTCAGAACTAGACAGTAAAAACACAGCCAGCCTGATGAATGACCCTGCGTTTCTAAAAGGCTATGACTAACACTAAATAAAATCAAACTGGGTGATGTGCATTTCAGCCTGCACCACAAATCAGTCCTTATTTTGAAGGGAGCGCTTGGAGCACATTAGCACTGGACACCTGCTGCTAGTGTGTTTAGTACACACTTGGTGAATCCTATTCTGTCAGTGCTTTCCTTTTTCCTGGTGAGAAAGGGATTTTCAGCACCTGCACATCTCTGGTTCTAAATTGACAAAAATCGGTTTCTATGTTGTTTGTATCTCTGCTGGATCCTTCAGAAATCCTTCACTCCCTAAATTATCACTGAAAATGTAACAAGTACAATATATATGGTACTCACCTTTTCAGCTTTTCTATTAGACTATTGTTTCTGATACTGTACTTTATTAAACACTTTACTACAAGCTACAGTAGTACAAGGCTGCTTTTGTGTGTCAAAGACAATGCATCTTTTCTATCCACTGCCCAGCTTTTTGAGGATGTCCTGCAGCACGGAGCAGGAGGAGTTCATCGCCATGTCTGCAGGAAGGGGGATGCCCCTCTGAGAATGTTAAGATGCAACTACAGCACCTGGTGGCTGAGTTAGCTGGATTTACGGGGGTTTAGCAGCCTCCAGACACACTGAAATGAGTCCCAAACGAAAACTTATCAGTATGTCCTGCACTTCATTTGAAAAGATCCTAGTCCAAGCCTGCCCAGGTTTTGAATTTTCAAGCTTGGACTGAAGAAGTATGTAAAAACAAAACCACAAACGTGCAGGTTTCCCACCTGCTGCAAAACATGGAATTTTACCTGTGCTGTGTGCTTCACTTCTGCCTGAAATTGCCCAATTCCAATCCTAAACCACACCTTGTAGGACTGGTATAAATACATAGACAAAGAATGAAGTTAGACGTGTAGGAAGAATAAAGGCAGAGTGAGAAGCAAAATATACAGGATAAACAATATATAAAATACCCAGGAAAAACTATCATTGAGTAATAATATGACAATGTGGATTGAGGTATTAAAACATCAGTTGTTTCAGAGTCTTAGGAAACCCTTTTTTACAGAGTAGAGAAACTCCATCTTGACTTACTCTGAATACATTACAGCTGGACCATTTCCAGGCACCGCTTTCTCTCAGCTGCTCAGCTGTCATAGAATCATAGAATCATAGAATCATAGAATCATAGAATCATAGAATCATAGAATCATAGAATCATAGAATCATAGAATCATAGAATCATAGAATCATAGAATCATAGAATCATAGAATCATAGAATCATAGAATGTTTTGGGTTGGAAGGGCCCCCTAGAGGTCCCCCTGTCCCGGGGGCTAAGCAGATCGGATGCACGTCGTGTGCCTGGGACACGGGACCTCACGCCAACGGAGAGGTGCGAGAAACTCGCAGAGGCACAGTAAAGCCATTTCTAAAAATATTTTACCTATACATAAACATAGAGCGTTCGGTCCCAGTATTTGCCCCAGGAATTATGAAACACTGCATCTACCTACCTGAAAACCAGGAACAGGCATTAATGAAACAACAAAACGTAACTTTTTGCCCACCTTGCAACAGGCTGCCGGGGCAGCGAATCCCGTTTAATCAGCACTCAGGTGAAAGCTGGGTTGCCCACAGATGCTGCCTGCCTGCTGAGGGGGAACCAGCCCCCGGGCCCCGCAGGGCCCAGCTGTGCCGGGGCTCGTCAGGCCCAGGGCCCGCTGTGAGGCCCTGTGGCCATAAAGAGCAACCTGCCCCAGGGGCAGGGGAGGGTGGTGGTGGGCTTTGGTGGCTGGGGCTGGGAGAGCTGAGGAAGGTGGAGGGGAAGAAGCAGAAGCTGAGACCCTCTGGCCTGGTGCCAAGTGGCATGTCCTCAGGGTGCTGCTTAGAGTCCTTGGGGCGCTGTGAAGGGTCTGCGCTGTGTGGAGACCAGCTGTGAGGTGGCCCAGCCAGGTAGGGCCTCTTGCAGGCAGCCTTTGTTGTGCCTAATGGCTGTTTTGAAATCCTCCCTGTGGGAAGATGCTTGTGTGGAATGGATGGGTTGGGTGTCTCTGCTGGGTTATGCTAATGGTTTTGCAATGGGTGCCATACTGAGTGCTGGTGTGGCGGGGTTTCCAGAGATGCTCTGGGTCAACTGGGTGCTGCTGGCCTGAGCTGTGGGGCTGGGCTGAAATCTGGCTGCGTCTGAGGGGAAGGGCA